AAAAAGCACAAGGTAAGGTTTTCTCCCTGATCTTCAAGTCTGTACAAATAATACCAGCTTTTCAGCAAAGGCTTCCTAAACTATCCGGTCTCCCATATCTTGCTCAACCTTTCCCTATGGCTGTTGTTGTCTTCTGACACATTGTATAATTTATTATATTTGCTACCTGTCTCCCTTTGGTAGGATGTAAACTCTAAGAATAAGGACTTTTCCCTATTTTATTCACTGTTGTATTCCCAAATAAAACTTGGCATGTAGATAGATACTTAATACATATTTATTGAATGAACATATATGTTAGCTGTTACTACATTACAAATTTATCCCAAAGCTTAAACCAAAAACATTTATTGTCTCAACGTGGTGTCTGAGATCATGATTCTGAAGCTGGTTGGTTCTGGCTTAGGTTCCTCTGTGAGGCTATAATCAAGCTGTTGGGAGGAGCTCTAGCCTTTGGGGGGGGAGGGGCTGCAGAACCCATTTCCAAGCCCTCCTACAAGGTTATTGGCAGAGTTTGGTTCCTCACTGGCTGTTGCCTGGAAGCTTCAGTTCCTAGTCAATGAGTCACACCACAGAGCTACTCCTGTCATGGCAGTTGGCTTCCCTTAAAATGATGGGAGAGAGAGAATACCCAGGATAGAGCCCACATTCTTTTTATTATTTATTCACAAGAATGATAATGATATACCTATTTGTGGTAAACTCAATCCCCCAAAAATGTTCATGTCCTGATCCCTAGTACCTGTGAATATGTTAATTTATATGGCAAAAGTAAGGTATGATTATGTTTTTGTTGTTGTTGTTGTTGTTATTTTTTTATAGGTTTTTGACATAGGGTGTGTGTGCTTCCTGGATAGAAAAGATAGAGATTTAGGGCTGGTAGGTGGCATGGTGGTTAAGGGTGCTGGACTCGCACATGGCCGACCGTGGTTCGAGTCTCGGACCTGGCGGTTTGCTTTCTCACTTTCCCTCTCTCTCTCTCTCTCTCTCTCTCTCTCACTCTCACTCTCTCTCTCTTTGTCCCTCCCTGGTCAAATTAAAATAAATAAATAAAGTTAAATAAAATAATTCTTAAAAAAAAAAAAAGAAAAGAAAAGATAGAGAAAGCAAGAAATCATCCCGCAGTGGGGGATGGCCACACCGTAATCCCTTCTCCATTTTTCTCCTAAGATTTTGGGCATATGCCATGTGCTTGGTGTGATTTTCAAGCCACCAGGTCCAGGACTTGAACTGTGTTCTGGCATCCTGACCATTGTGACGATGGGCACAGAAGTTGAAGTGATGCACTTTGAAGATGGAGGAAAGTACCATGAGCTGAGAAAAGCAAGAAGCCTCTAAAGGCTGGAAAAGACAAGAAACACAATTCTCTGGAGCATCCAGAAGAAAAATAGTCCCATCGATATCTTGCTTTTGGCTCAGTAAGACCCATTTAGACATCTGAGTTCCAGAACTGCAAAATAATAAATAGTGGTGGTGTTTTATAGAGAGATTTTTGCTATAGGTCACGTGTACTTGCCAGAGAGACAGAGACAGAAAGCAAGAAATTACCCGCCAGGGGGTATAGCCACACCATAATCCCTTCTCCTCCATTCTCCTCAGGATTTTGGACACTAAGCATGAGTTTTAAGCTGCCAGGTTCAGGACCTAAACCACAGTTGACTACATGTGAGTCCAGTGACATAACCATTGCACCATCTGCTGGTCCCAATATATGTTGTTTAAAGCCACTAAATTTGTGGTAATTTCTTACACAACCAGATAGGATGTGAATACATCATCACTTCTGCCATATTGAATTAGAAGTGAGTCACTAAATCCAACCCACATTCCATGGATACCAAGACACACAATTGCTAGAGGCTATTTTATGACCTGCCTACAACAATTAATGAATTATTATTTTTTTAAAAGAATTATTTATTTAGTGTTACTTATTTATTCATTTTAATTTGACTAGAGAGAGAGAGAGAGAGGGAAAGTGAGAAAGCAAGCCACCAGGTCCAGGACTTGAACCATGGTTCGCCATGTGGGAGTGTCTAGTGCCTTAACTACCATGCCACCTGCTGGGCCCCGAATGAATTATTAACCCCACTAAGCAGGTCAGTAAACAGGTTCAGGAGTAAAGTAACTTGTCTGAGGTCTGTAGCTAATAATGGAAGAGTCAGTTCCATCTGACACTCTGGATTAAATCCCAAACTCCTTTGAAAATAGCTGAAGGCTTAATCTGGGCCTTATCTCCTCCCCAGTCTTTTTTTTTTTTTTTTAAATTTTGCTACAGTCACACATGCTTACTGGAGAGACAGAGACAGAGAGAGAGAGAGAATAAGCAAGAAATCATCCCCGCAAGGGGGGTAGCCATACCACAATCACATCTCCATTTTCCTCTTGGGATCTTGGACATACATGCACATTTACCCAAATGTGTTTCAAGCTGACGGATCTGGGACTCCAACCACAGGTGGCCACGTGGGAGGGAGTCCAGTGCCTTAACCATTGTGCCACCTCCGGACCTTTACTCCTGCTGTTTCCTTCCAAATTTGTTCTTCACTGGGTTGGCTCTTCACTCTTCAAGTCTCAGTTTAAATGCAAGTTTACCCTGACTACCATTTATAACATAATGACTTTCTATCTGTTCAACCCATTTTAGTTTATCTTATTTATTGTTTGCTTATTATCTAATGTCTGTTCCCACTACTCCCACCCCTCATGAGAACAGGCACTTTGCCTGCTTTGTTCACTGCTGTATCCCAATACTGGCACACAGGAGGTGATCAATAAGTATTTGCCAAATTAGCAGATGACTCCACAAGTTGGTAAAACAGTTAAAAACAATCCATTTAACTCACTTCTCTGGGCATCTTAAAATAACTGTTTTTACTTGGCAGAACTTCTGAGAATTAAAAGAGATAAATAAGTGACAAGGCCTAGAGTCATCGGATATATTTTTAAAGAAACTAGAGTTTTTTAATTTTCCCACCAACAGGCAGTCCCTATACCCTGGGGGCATTCACAGGCCCTATACTCTGAGAGCCCTTTGTCTTCAGGGAGGGAAGAATTCTGGTGGAGGGGTGAGCAATCCACCATCACCACCTGTTGGGTAATAACAGCATTTTCTTCCCAGGCTGGTTCTGCTGGTCCCTTTTTTGCCCCTTCCCACAGGCAAAAACAAGCAAACAAAAAACTTTTCTTTCTTTCTTTCTTTTTTTTTTTTTTTTTTTTTTTTAACTTTTTGCTATAGGGCTCGCTAGAAAGACACAGAGACAAAGAGAGGGAAAGTAAGAAATTACCCCTCCAGAGGGGATGACCATGGCATAATCCCTTCTCTTTGGGATTTTTGGGCATGCACACACATGTGACGGGTGTGTTTTTTAGGCCACAGGTTCTGGGACTTGAACCACAGAGCCAACCATGTGGGATGCGGTGCTTTAACCACTTTAATACCTGCTAGCTCAAAAATCCCGTTTCTTGGGAACCAGCAGTTAGCGTAATGGCTATGTCGCTGGATTCCCACGTAGTCAACCGCGGTTCATGTCCCGGACCCGGTGGCTTAAAACTCACGCCGGGCGCATGTGCGTGCGTGCCCAGGATCCCAAGAGGAGAATGGAGGAGAAGGGATTGCGGCGTGACCATCCCCCCCTGGGGGGTGATTTCTCGCTTTCTGTCTCTCTGTCTCTCTCTGTCTGTCTGGTGAGCGCACGCGCCCTATAGCGAAAACCTCTCAAAAAAAAAAATCCCATTTCTTAACCAGAAACCATAGCTCTCTGAAGACCCTACAAGTCAATCATGAATTTAATGAAGGTATATCAGACAAGGAACGCTAAACTTGATTAGGAAAGATAAGGTTTTGTGATATTAGACAAGGAAATTTACCAATATCTCTGTTTCTCCCTGTATGTGTTAGCAAGTGGTAGAGAGAGACCAATGATAGAGGATTGAATTAACCGTCTCAGTTCATACCCCACCCTTATGATTGATTCATGCAGGGTTCCTCTGTGATTTCATTAATTCAGTCATTTATTCATACTTTTTTGTGTCCTTATCTTCCCCACTCCTTACCTTCCTCTCCTACTCCATTTAGTAAGTGCCTTTGAGTTTGTATATAGCTTTGTCAGATGTGTGGTGTTGATTTGTGCAATTTTAATTTTCAATTTTTACAAAAGAACTATTTTACATATTTTTAGTATTTGTTTTTAATTTTTGCCATAGAGCATGTGTGCTCACCAGAGAGAGACAGAGAGAAAGGGGAAAGTGAGACAGCAAGCCACCAGATCTGGGACTCAAACTGCAGTTGGCCCTGTGGGAAAACAGTGTCTTATCCATCATACCACCTGTTGGCCCTATATTTTTACTTTTAAATTGAAAGGTGCCCATCTTACTATAGATAAAATTCTGTTTCTTACTGTGGTAGTCAGCCTCCAAGATTATTTCCAGTGGTTCTCCTGGTATTTAATTTTTGACTTGTTCCATCCATTATGAACTGAATGTTTGTACCCCAGCAAGATTCATGTTATTCATATATGAAATCACAGTCTAACATCCAACGTGATAGTATTTAGAAGAAGATTCTCTGGGAGGTGATTAGGTTAAGATGAGATATAAATATTGGCCCCTCCTGATGAGATTAGTGCACTTATAAGAAGAGAAAGGGATTCCAGAGCTTACTCTTTCCATGCACCTGCACCAAAGCAAGGCCATGTGAGTACATAGTGAGATGGTGGCCACTTACAAGCGAAGCCAAGAGCCCTCATAAGGAAACCTCCCTTACTGACACCTTGATTTAAACCTATCCGCTTTCAGAACTATGAGAAGTAAAGTTCTGTTGTTTAAGCCATCTACTCTATGATATTTTGCTGTGGCAGTTTGAGTTCTATCCCATGTTGAATAGAACTGACCCTGTTCAAAAAATAGAATATTGCAGGGATAGTGGTGTGTGATTTCCAAGGCTAAATAATAAAGACATTGTAACCTCCTTCTTCTTTCTTTTGGATCACCCACTCTAGGGAAGCCATCTGCCATGTCGTGTGGACATTCAGGCAGTTCTGTGGAAAGATCCAAGAACTGAGATCTCCTGTCACTAGTTAGCACCAACTTGCCAGCCATGTGAATTTTCTAGCACCAGTAAAGCCTTCAGTTGACTCAAGTTTCAGTGACATCTTTGTTTTGTAAGTCTACTTATTTTATTCATGATAGCACGTGCATGAGTGAGGGAAAGGGAGAAGCACTCTAAACAGGGTCTCATCATACTGTGATCTCCCATCCCCAGTCCTTCAGTTCATCAGTATCTTGGGCAGGCAAGTGTCAAGCATTATTTCAAGCCAACCAAAGGATTCTAACCGGGGGTTGGTCTTATGGCTTCCAGCACTGCAGTTCAGTTTACTACCAACTATATTACCATCCTGGGCCCCCTGTGACATCTTAACTGCAATAGTGTGCAAGACCCAAAGCCAGAACCATTCAGTCAAGCCACTCCCAAATTCCTGACTCACAGAATATGCAAGGTAAGAGTTTAAGTCATTATATTTTGAGATCATTTGTTACACAGCAGGAGATAACTGATGTACTTATTTTTTCATTTATAGAGTCAATTCAGATCTGCTATTGTAGCACAAAAGCAGCCATAGATAGTATAATCAAATGAATATAGCTATGTTCTTGTAAAATTTTGTGGGTGCTAAAATTTGAATTTTGTATATTTATGTGTCACTAAGTACTCTTGATTTTTTTCTCCCAACTACTTAAAAGTGTCATGTTGAAAAAGAGACTGTGGGTCAGATTGGTCAACAGGCCTTAGATCCATGACCTCTGATATATTTCATTGTTTGAACAGCTCCACAATTATTCCATAGTGTGCTTTTACCATATTTTACATATCTAGTGTCCCAGTGAAGGACATCCAGTTCATCCTCTACTCCTCGCTCCACTAACAGTAAATGCAGTGGCTGTGTGGGACGATTTCTGGAGTATTTGCTCAGGAGTGGGAACTGCTGGGTTTCTTGCAGTTAGCCTACACTCACCAGCGATGCGTAAGAGTTCCCATATCCCCATATCCTACCAACACTTGATGTTACCCGACTTCCTAATTTTTGCCAATCTGTGAATCTTCCTCTTGGTTTGCATTTCTCTGTTATCTAATTTAAACATTTTTTCCCCTGAAAAGTAGCATATATTCAGTTTTCCTCTAAAGTGCATATTCACTTTGATGTTTCTGACCTTTCTTTTTGGGGAGATCACCTCTCTGTGGGTCTCAGTTTCCCCCATGTGCACTACAGTTGGACTTTCCTGAGATGCCATCCCTGTTGCTAAAATCTTTACATCGAAGTTTCAAATAATGAGAATAGCCCAGAGTTGGTCTGGGATTGGGTTTTAACATATATTATCTCATGGAAGAAGTCCCAGTTTTATTTGGTGATTATAGCAAATTTGGGTTCAGGGATGTTACATATCAACTCAAGGATTGTGGAATTGAACCATGAGCAGATGCTGAAGCTAAATTCTGTTAGGAAGAGCTTGGATTGCAAATTGGAATTAGAAGACATTAACTAGCCCTCCTCTTGGTTCAAACTGGAAAAGATGCTTGTACATGCCAAGGCAGGTAAGGTACTAGAGAGGAAGGGCCTTGTCTTCATAGTGAATATTGTTGCAAATTCGCCTTTTTTTGCAAATTTATTCTTTTTTTTTTATCCTGCAAATTTATTCTAAAGGGCAATTTGGCAGTTATGTGGCAAGCCTTAAATACCTGCATACCCTTTGACTCTGCAGATTCCCTAGGAATTTGTCTGAGGTGGTAATATGTCAAAGGCAAGGATAAAAATGTTTGGTGATGGTGAAAAAAGAAAATCACATTTAGGGGCCAGCAGATGGCATGGTGGTTAAGGGTGGTGGACTCCCACATGGCCGACTATGGTTTGAGTCCCAGACCTGGCAGCTTGCTTTCTCACTTTCTCCCTCTCTCTGTCCCTCTCTGGTCAAATTAAATAAATAAAGTTAAATAAAATAGTTCTTTTTTTTTTTTAATCAGATTTAAACATTCCCCTTCAAGGGATGAAATATTACACTATCCTAAGAAAAATGTTCTGTGGTGAAACACTACAGTATTGGTATGGGCAGAGACTTTTTGGATATGACCCCCAAAACAGGCAAAAATAGATAACTGGGATTGCACCAATCCCACTGCTATACTTCTGAACATCATGGGATATGTCAGAGTGGAGAGACAATTCACATATCATGAGAAAATATTTGCAAGTCATACATTGGATAAGGGACTAATATCTAAATTATGCAAGGAACTCAAACTACTTAATAAGAAGACAACAAAGGGCCAGCAGTAGCATTGTGGTTGGTGTGCTGGGGACTCCCAAATGGCTGACCACAGTTCAAGTCCTGAACCTGGCAGCTTGCTTTCTGACTTCCCCTCTTTTTCTGACTACAGTAAGTTAAAATTAATGATAATGATAATAAATAAAATAAAATTTAAAATCTTAAAAAATAAAAAGGAATCAGCAGTTGACGTAATGGCTATGTTGCTGGACTCCCATGTAGTTGACCACGGTTCGAGTCCTGGACCCGGTGGCTTAAACTCACACTGGGTGCATGTGTATGTGTGTCCAAGAACCCTAGAGGAGAATGGAGAAGGGATTGCGGTGTGGCCATCCCCCCTGGAGGTGATTTCTTGCTTTCTGTCTCTCTGTCTCTCTCTGTCTTTCTGGCGAGCGCATGTGCCCTATAGCAAAAACCTCTCCAAAAAATTAATTAATTAATTAAATTTAATTTAATAAATAAAAAGACAACAAATAATCCTATTTAAAAATTGGCAAAGGACCTGAATAGGTATTTCTTAAAAGAAGACATTCAGGGCCAGCAGTTAGCATAATGGCTATGTCGCTGGACTCCCATGTGGTCGACCATGGTTCACATCCCAGACCCGATGGTTTAAAACTCATGCCAGGTGCGTGTGCATGCATGCCCAAGATCCCGAGAGGAGAATGGAAGAAAAGGGATTGCGGCGTGACCATCTCCCCTGGGGGGTGATTTCTCGCTTTCTGTCTCTCTGTCTCTCTCTGTCTGTCTGGTGAGCGCACGCACCCTATAGCGAGGAAAAAACATAAAAAAAAAAAAAAAAAAAAGACATTCAGGGACCATCAGATGGCATAATGGTTATGTTGCTGGACTCCCACATAGTTCGAGTCCAGGACCCAGTGGCTTAAAACTCATGATGGGCACATGTGCATGTGTATCCAAAATCCCAAGAGGTGAATGGAGAAGGGATTGTGGTGTGGCCATCCTCCTGGGGGTGATTACTTGCTTTCTGTCTCTCCGGCAAGCACATGCACCCTATAGCAAAAATCTCTCTCTAAAAAAACATAGTAAAAGGGGGACCAGCAAGTGGCGTAGTGGTTAAGGAGCTGGACACTCCCACATGGCCAGCTATGGTTCGAGTCTCGAACCTAGTGTCTTGCTTTCCCGCTTTCCCTCTCTCACTGTGTCTCTTTGGTCAAATTTAAGTAAATGAATGAATAAATAAAATTAAATTATTTAAAAAATAATAATAATAAAAGACATTCAAATGGCCGACAGATAAAAGAAAAAAATTAGTAACAGACTTCATGGCCTATAAAGCCTAAAATATTTATTATCTAATCTTTTATGGAAAAGATTTACTGACTCATCAACTATGTATTAGTGTTTTTATTATTTATTTTTTTGCTAGCTGGATGGGAGAGAGCTTGGGAATATACCACCTCTGGATTAGACAGTAACAGGACCCAAGTCACTAGCCCCTCTCTGCCAGGTCCTGGCCCGGTAGTATAAGGAGTGAGAGCTCATATCTGACTCCATTTTCTGGACTGAGAAACTGAGTTCTGGGAGAATTACTTAAGCTCATACAAACTGTGGGAGAATGGGCTTAGCTTTCCTCTACTCCTGGACAGCTTCCTTTACTCCAGTTAAGAAAATATGGCCTTGAATAATTAATGGTTGGTGTTTGCTGAGCACTCCATCTTGTCAGAGCACTTTGATCATCATTAATTAGTCAGAACCTGGCTCCTGCAATAGTAGAATAAAACAAAAACAAAATGGCTTTGATGTCTTCACCACTAAAACTGGGAGCTTCTATCTTCACATCGAGGCTTTGACCTGCAGATTAAAATTTTGGCCTGAAGACTTGAAAAACATACTGGGAACGTGCCATGATGAGATGGAGAAATGACATAAAAAAGGATTGCAGTATGACCAGGCCCTTTTGGGAGGGTGTCTCTCTCTCCTCATGTGGCACTTGTACACACATGCCCTCTGGGAAGAAAAAGAATTACCTGAGGCATTTGTTAAAATACAGATTCCAGAGCCCTACTTTAGACCAACTAATCAGTTATAATTATTTTAATAATTTAAAATTTGTGTTTATTATTTAATTTGCTATAGGGCATATCTACTCACCAGAGAGACACAGAGAGAGAGAAAGTGAGAAAACAAGCCACCGAGTCTGGACTTGAACTACAGTTGGCCATGTGAGAGTCTAGTTCATAACCCACCATGCCACTGCTGGCCCAGGTGACTTTTTTTTTTTTTTTTTTTTTAATTTGACCAGAGAGGGACAGAGTAAGAGAGAGGGAGAGGGAAAGTAAGAAAGCAAGCTGCCAGGTTTGGGCCTCGAATTGTGGTCAGCCATGTAGAAGTCCAGTGCCCTTAACCACCATGCCACCTGCCAGCCCTATAGGTGACATAATTTTAAAGGCTTTCTAGGTAAGTCCTATAATCAGGCAAATGTGGGAAACAGTGCTGAGCCATCTTGGAGTTATTTTGCTTCTTATTTATACATGTACCCACAAACCCTTAAAACGTTTTTAAAGTAATTATTTAATTTTACTTATCATTTTATTTATTTATTTATTTATTTATTTTGGAGAGGTTTCTGCTATAGGGTACGTGCACTCACCAGAAAGACTGAGAGATAGAAAGCAAGAAATCACCCACCCACCCACTCCGGGGGGTGGCCATTCTACAATCCCTTCTCCTCTCAGGATCTTAGGCACGCACGCACACGCGCCCAGCATGAGTTTAAGCCACCAGGTCTGGGACTCAAATCGTGATCAGCTACATGGGAGTCCAGCAATGTAGCCATTACACCATCTGCTGGTCCCTATTTTTATTTTTAAACTTGCTACAGGGCATGTGCGCTAACCAGAGAGGCAGAGAAAGAGGGAAAGCAAGAAAGCAAGTCACCAGGTCCAGAACTCAAACCACTGTTGGCTAGTACCTGGACTATGCTACCTGCTGGCCCCCAAAACACTTAAACTTTTATTTTTTGCTGTTTTACCTTGACTTGCCACCTATTGCAAAATAGAGATATCTCTCTTTAAGAGTGCACCCTCTCTCTTTCTTTTATTTTTTATGGCCACAGGTGTGTGCACTTGCTAGAGAGAGACAGAGGGAGGAGATGGTGCTCCCAGTGAGACATAGTCATACTGCAGTTGCTTCTTATCTCTCCATCCT